AGCTGAGGGCATCCGCTGCTGGCTGTAGTCATAGAATCGCTTATGTTGGAAAGGACTTCAAGATCATCAAGTCCAACCATCCTTCATTTACCTGCCCCTCTGAGCACTCCTCCAGGTTGAGGAGGAAGAATGTGGAGCACAGGGGGTTTATTTCAGTTATCCCATCAATTCTTTAACTACTAAGACACTGTGTGTGATTTGAGCACTATGCTGACGGGTTCCTGTGCCTAATGTTTTCTGGTGGTGAAGCTGCGGCAGTTCCCTACTTGGAAAAGGGGAGAGCTCCCTGACTGAGGCGGTCTGGTACCTCGAGTGACCCTTGACTGCCTGGCAGCCATCTCTTGCAGGCCTGGGACTTCACGCTTGGTCACCACAAGCAAGCAGTGTGTTTGGAGTCTGATTGGTAGCTAATGCTCTTGGGTGTTTCACGAACAAAATCAAGTTTGTGGCAGTTCACGGCTGGAGGGTTAAAACAAGATTGGACTGTGTGAAATAGGTGCTTTATATGTGTTAGGCATTCAGGTCTTCTATTTAATTTTCATGGGTTTTGGTAATGACATTTAAAAAAAAAATAAATTGGAGTTTTATTTGGTTTACATGGCCTGCAATCACATATGACCTTTCATTTGGTATAACAGTCTATATCCGTTATACTTGTGAATGTTGACCATTAAGCCGAGGAACTTTTCTGAAGTAAATCCATTGTAAATTCTGAGGCAAGCATTCATATTGACTCATCTTTTGTAAACACTGTGTAAATGCAGCACTTGAAAATTCAGAACATAGTTTCCAAGGCCAAGCTGGAGAGACTGCTATGTGGTATATAATGATTTTGTTGTGCATGTATTTAATGCTAACAGCCCACCTGTTCAGGATAGTAAATTAGATGATGAATAGCCCTAGTGAGCTGTTCCCTAGCATGTGGTCTGCACCATCAGCACAGATATTTTTGTGACTGAAGAGGATTCTGTGTTGTGAGAAGTTTAAACAGCTGTATCTCCTATTTACAGCTTCTATGGAAAGTCCAATTTTTGAAGTGAAATAATCTGTATGTTTTAATATTGTTGTTTTGCTTCTGTGGTTGCTAATGGATGGTGCTGATGTGATGCTGTAGCCAGGAGGTGGGAGACAATCTAAAACTTGTCTTCATCTTTGCCAAAGAGTATTTAGGAGTAAATTCTAACATTACCTTCCAGTCAAGGACTGGGCCGAGTTGGCGAGGCAGCAGGATGGAGGAGAGTTTGTAGTAGGGCTACCAGCTGGATCTGAGGTGGACATGAAATAGCTGTTTCTTTCTAAACACTTTTACTATGAAAAGGTACTGTAATTCTCCGTAGCAGATATATAGTGGCTAGACTATGTGGTTTAGGTTTTCGTTAGGGTTCTTTGCTATTAGCAAACTGATTTTCTAAAATTCCCTCTTTAAAGAGGTGTTAGAAGGTTTCAGCAGTGTCTGACCTTGAATGAATAGGACTCTTATTCCACGTGTTGCTGCTGTATCCATTCACGTAAACAATATGTTCAGATGTATTTTTAGTAAATCTATTTCAGCTAAGTGTTTATGCATCGGTTGGACTTCACTCTTTTCATTTCCACAGCTTAAGTGTGACAGGGTTCCTCAAGTCTGCATGTGTCCTGCTCTGTCTAATCATTCGGTCTCTAGAATTGTCTCCTAAGTCCGCATAACGTTGCAGAATCTGAAAAGGTAATGCTGACATGGTTAGACGTCGTGAATGAAGTTGCTCATGTCTTTTATTTCTCTCTTTCTTCTCAGGACTTAAACGCTATCTATTCTTTCCTTCATGGGCTGGACATACTCTCGCATTTCAGGGAACATCAGCTAAGGTAAAGTACAATGGAACCAGTTAGTGCTGCATAGCACAGCCGGTATCTGTGACTCTATTTTTGTGAAGATGAGCAAAGCTTTGGTCTGCCCACACTTGGAGGTGGCGAAGCATCAGCCAAGTCCATTGCTGAGCAGAGTCACTGCAGTACCACAGCATGCAATCTAAACCAATTAGCTTTGCTAAGAACGAAGACAGAGCTTACTCCCATTTGTCTACAAATGTGTAGACGGTGCCCAGTGTTAACTCTGGATTACAAAAGCTTTTTAATGCTTCAGACATTGGGATGATCTCAGAATACATGAAACGGAAGGCCAACAAAGCACAAGAAGTGCGTTGGAAGTATTTTTGTTCCTTCAGTTCTGTTGCTATGGGTAATTCCAATGTGTGGGAGTGATTTAAACACTTAGAGAACATGCTGTATATTATCTATTTGGATAATGAATAACACTGTAATAATTTGAATTTTATGGTTAAGCACACCCTTTGTTTAGAACAAAAAATAGTTGAATTTGAGGTCTTCGAGCCTTAAAGCGATGCCACTGAAAAGTGGTGATTAATGGCTTATGGTCTTTAGGGATTAAAATTGAAATTAAACTTCTCCTCCTCCTCCTCCTCCTCCCTCAGAATAATGTCATCAAGTGCCCGCTATGAGAGGTACAAGGGCAACCAAGTTCTCTTTTGGTAAGTACATGTTGCTTGTTGGGGTTTTTCAGTAGAAGTGTGCACAAAACCGCTGTTTTGCATGCTGAATATATTGCTTGCTTTGTTCAGTAATTGTGGATATAAGGCTTTACAACATTTAAGCTGGACCGGGCTGGTTGAAAGCTTTGACAGGAGATGGTTATGGCAGTAGTACAGTATTGACATTTGAGAGGTGCCCATGAATTATCAGCACGGCTCCCACGGACAACAGAGGTGTGTGTCTGCACTCGTAAAATCAATTAAAATGCAGGCAGTGTCACCTCGGTGTCCGGGGGAGCGGTGGTGACGCCTCAGTTCCCTGGAGCTGGCACCGACTGCGCAGCCAGAAGCCAAACGGCTTTGCAGGAGAATCCTGAGTAGGGGTGGAAGACAAATGCTGTCTCTTCTTTTACTTTAAATTGCTAGAATTAGTGTTTTAGCTCAGAGTTATGTTAGATTTCTGCTGGGAGGCAAACAGGCTTTTTTTCTTGGTGTTTTAGCATTGCTTTTTGATGTATTTATCCTCTCACAGCTAATCCTAGCTTTCTGTAAAAGGCGCGTCTTCTGGTAGACCTGAGCCGAAAGGAGATGCCACCAGCTAGTTCACATGGTGGGGATGTGTGACACAGACCTGGCCCAGTACCAGGTTGATGTGCACGAGTGCTGGAACAGGAAGATGTTGTTAGGCCGCAGCACTTTAGGAAGGAGCAAAATCTACCGTAAAACATGGTAACTCCTGTGCAGACCTACGGGCTGTAGGCTGAAACGTTGGCAGATCCCTTATCCGTCCCTCTGGGGTCGAGTGGCACAACGGGAGACAACGCCACATATGTGTGCGATGCAAATGTGCAGATGGAGGAGTGCAAAGCAGGAGTCGGGTGTATGGGTCTTGTCTTTTATCTGTAACACCTGATAGGTCTGGGTAGTGTTACTGCCCATGTTGGATTGCTAATCAACTTTAGCACAATAAAATTTTTCCTGTATTTTTAGCCTTATGTATGCTTTCACTGGAATGAAATGTTTTTACTGAACATTAAAAATGTCGTTGTAATAAAATAGATTTTTAAGCTGACTTGAATGTCAAATTGTAAAGTTTGAGAGAGATTCAGGATGTAAATGTTTTAATAACAGTTAATTCTTGGTAGTGTTCAATGAAAGTTCTTAGGTTTCCAGTCCACATATCAAATTGGTGGAGTGGTAAGTGATTATTTTACTATAGTAACATTTTGGATTATATGTTTTTTGAGTTGCTGTAAGAAGAAAGTAGATAGCAATGTTTTATTTTCTTCCAGCTCAGAAACTATTGCAAGATGCTGGTACATATTGCTTTCTGGATCTGTGCTCATGAAGGATTCCATGTTTTTACCACCTTGCAGGTATGTAAAGTTGTTATTATTTAAGGTAAGGCAAGATTTTTTTTCTTTTGTAATAAATGCTTTCTTTTATGTTGATGTTACTGAAAATTTTTCACAAATTAAAAATTTTTTTTTCATTATTTTTCTTTTCTAAAGTTTGATAGTGGGAGAAATGTTCTGCTAATTTGATTTAAATTCCCTTTCACTTTTTCTGCATGTTGAAATTTCTGTGTGAAACACCTCGCTTCATGGTTTGTAAATCTCACTTGGCTTTTTAAGTTTATAAGAGAATTTGTAGTTAGCTTGTTAACTCGGGGATGCTCTGAACAACTCATGTTGTGTAACTTTTTGTATCGAGTCCCCATCTCAAAAAATATGGCTCTAGATCACATAGCTCCTACGATTTGGTTGGAGGCTGTATTTAACTGCATAGATGATTTTTATGCAAAGCAAGAAAACAGAGGCCGGCAGCATCGGTTGCAGAGAGCATATGTCAGGAGCCTGACTGCATCTCAGAGCTGAAGCGCAGCGAACATTGTGACGCGCCTTCACTGAAGCGTGCTGTTTGACTTGAGCTGGACCTTGCTGCGCTGTAATACTCTGCCTGACCTTGTACATCACTCAGAAATCATACTTCGCTGTATCTTGAAGCTGCATGTTGCTTATTTGTATTCAAGCTGCACTTCTAGGCTAGGCAGGAGTGGTTTAAAAAAACTACATAAAGATTTACAGTTGCCTTGGCACCCAGTTTGAATAGTTTGTGTTGAGGTTATCAAAAGCGCTGTTGCCTGTTACCAAATGAAATCCAGGTTTTGCCCCGCGTGGTGGTTCTGGGCAGTGGGACACTGGCTCGCTCCTGCAGCGACTGCTGCCTCTGTGGTCTCCTCTCCCAGTCCTGCCGTGCGCTGTCACCGCTGGGCTGGAGTAGAACTTGCTTCCCCTCTAGCCACAACACAGCACGGCGAGGTTAATAAAGAGTGGGTACCAACTCCATGTAAATATCTCTCCTTTCTTCACAAATGCACCTATACCGAGGTGTCTGAAACTCGGATTAATCGGTGGGACTTTACTGAACATGAGTTGGTAGGCTTAACAAATGTCAGCTCCAGCTCAGATACACTTCCATGTATTTGAATTTCATGGTGAGTACTAATGAAAACACTTAGGACTGATTTTCTTTTTCAGCCCAGTTCTTGGTTAGCTGTAGCTGGATGTTAAACTCTTAATGGTCCTTGGGTGACTGAAGTTCAACAGTGCCACAAGTGAGGACATGGCAAGTTGGTATTTGCATAAAACCTAGATTAAAAAAATAATTGTTTCACTAAACGTGAGGAATATGTCACTCAATCATTAAGTTTTCTTGTTCTGAGGGGTTTTTTTTCTGTTGGGTTCGTTGTTTTTTTTTTTAAGATGTTACTTACTTTTGTGGTTGTTTTTGTGCCCTGTGAGTGATAAACTTAAGTTACTTTCCCTGGTCTGAATACCTCACCTAACACATCTTTCATTGAGGGAGCTGCATAGTTACCAATCATTTACAGACTATTTTCATATGAAACAGCGCCTTGGATTATTTAGTGGTGTTCTTTCATCACTAAACAGCACCATTTTAATTACATTTAAAGTAATACTTAACGTTATGTATTATCCCTTGTCCCCAGCCAAGTTCCTGATTATGTGAGTCATTCTGAAAGGAGGCTTAAGCACACATCTGTAAGGAAACCCAATATTGCCTTCATTCTCACTGCCTCAGGTAGTAGAGCTGTTCTTTTTGAGAGGAGCTGAAAACATTTGGTTTGTTTGTTTCTGGATTTTTTACTCATGCTTAAGCTGTAACAGTGGAAATGACCCACAGTGGAAATACCATTAGGTGTAAATCATCCTCGGAATTTAGAGGTTTTCATTCTTGAAAACTTTCTGTTTGAAGGTGCTAATGTCGTAAAGATAATTACCTGAATTGATTGTTGGGTGTGGATTTTTTGTTTGGTTTGCCCTTTTTTTGACAAAATCTCTTGCTGCAGTTTTGTGTTGCTCTGCTTTGATTTTTAGAAAATGCTGCCTGACCACCTTTGGCAAAATTATTTACTATAATGGGAAAAGAATCGCATGGGTTTAAAAGAGGATGTGGAGGACGTTTGTCCATTCAAATGATTCATCTTTGTCTGATTGAGAACTTGATGCCTCTGTGCCTGATGAGCATATGATAATAGTAAAATAAACATATTAGTAAAATAAAACCGTGTGATATCAGTAAAACAAACTTTATGGAAGAGTATCTTCTTCGGGACACTGATTTATCTGTGCTTTTTTTAATTCCATAGTAGGAAAGTGGTGGGCAAATGTAGAGAATTAAAAGAAAATCACGCTTGGAGTATTCTGAGATTGCTGAAGGGAAAGGATACATCCTTCCAGTCCGTTAGGTTTTTGGTAGGCTTGGTGCTGCTTAGACATTGGCATCGGGTGAAGCTGAGCTGTTTGATTTGAGGAATATGGTATAAATGTGTCAACAGATGAGCAGAGGTGAGCAAGGTTAGAGACAGGTGTCATCTGCACAAAAGTGATGCAGCAGCCTGATGATGGCTTTGAGATGGCCTGGGGGAAAATGGATGAGGACCGAAATAGGATCTTTAATGTGAGGAAGGTGATAACTACCAAAGATGAGAATTTAGGTTTCAATCTGGAGACCTCCTAGTGCTTTGAAAAGGTCAGGAGTCAGGTTTGAGTAACTGTCTTTCTGGAAGAAGTGGGCAGACAGAGGCATTTCGTAAAACAGATAGTGGATAGCAAATAGACTTTTTTTGGAAGCACAATTGTTGTGTATACTTCATAATGCCCCCCACTTCCCAGCATCGTAACTTCAATTTTATTTGTCCTCTGGAGCATTTAACAATACTTCACATTTAAAGAACTTCTGTTCATTTTAGGATTCATATGCTGGGAATACTGGAACAGTTTTTTATACGATGTGAGAAGCAGGATCCCAGTGTTTTTCAGCCAGAGGAAGCTGGTTTCCTGGGCAATAGGGGTTTTAAGTCCCCTTACGGACCTGTTGTTTTTCATCTGTTTTATTTGGCAATCATCAAAAATCAGGGTTGTGTTGTAAAATAGCTGCATGGCAACTGATGTTTAATAATTATATGAGAAACTGCTGTTACAACTGATCGTTAGTTACTTTCAGTCTGCATAAACAAGACTGGAAGGTGATGATGATTTCCTGACTGTTTCCTGGTACCTCTTCACAATACTTGTCTTTTCTTCTATCACCTGCCCCATGGTTGCCTTGACAGAGGAGGGGACTTCAGTAGACAACTGTAAACTTAACCTGGTTAAGATATTGGCTAAGCTCTCTTCCTTCTGCATGCTTCATCCTTCTTGTTTCATCCCCTACCTGCCATTTGAGTTTGAGTCAGCAGAGCTTCAGGGAATCCTTTTCTTCTGCAGGTCTTTCTGTAATAAAATATTGTATAGATTCAAACCTGAAAGAGGCATAGCCCCATGGAAGTGCAAGAGGATGGACAGTCACTGCTTTATTGACTGTCGATAAGTATTTGAGTGAGTAATGGTGTAAGCTGTGGCTTCCTGTGCTTGAGGAGGGCTTTTTATTCAACTCGGATGAATTTGTATGCAAGCTGTAATTCAGAGATTGGCTTAAAGATTGGAGGAGTAAAACTTGCATCCAGGTACAATAAATCTATTCAATATTCTGACACTGATGATCATGATAAAAAAAAAAAAGCCCTGTAAGATTTTTAAGTGAAGAAGCAGATCAATCAGTAGTATCAGGTACAGAGATGACATAACCTTGATTACCCTATTGCCTGGAGAACGGATTTGTCAACAGATTTGGCATAGTAGGAAAAGAATTTGCTTCTAACATGAAAGCAGTGGCTGGAACAAAAGAACAAGACTGACGGATTTTGTGGAAGTAAAATCATGTCAGCAAGTTAAAGAGGTTTTGTGTTAACCTTGCTTGTTAATCAAGATAATTCATGTGAACAGGCTATTTGAAGGAGATTACTCACAGCAAGATTAGCCATAGGAAATATATCAAGGGCCTGGAGGAACTTTTGAAGCCAATTATGTGGATGACAGCCTCCTACAGCTGTGAGAATTGAACCTCGAAGGGAAAAATACAAAGTCTTGAAACATTCAAGATGTAGTCTTATTCAAAACAAACATTTCTCTTTTCTGAGCCCTTCCAAGAAATTTGGGAACAGCCTTTCCAAAATCTCACAAGTGGAGAAAATTGGTATTGCTGCCCTGTTCAGGTAGTACATCTCTTAGGTAAAGACTCTTGATCCCAGATAGACTCGTGGCTGTATTGTGGTATCTTTTCACAAGAGCTGGAGATGCCTCCATGACTCACTAAGCCATTTCTCTTTCTCTTCTCGGGTAAAAGGAGAAGATGCAAATGCTTGGATCAAGAGCATTGTCATAATGAAAGAGGAACTCCAGTTTTGCATTATGAACAGCGGCTTAGGTTGATATTATTTGAACTTGTTTTGTATTAAGTTTATATTAATGAATAACAATATTTTAATGTATTTTGAAACTTACTGTGACTGTTAATTGTTTCAGTCTATTCTGTGAGTAGTACCAGAAGCCCAGACAGTTCTGTGCTTTTACAGGACTGTCAGCGTTGGTAAATGAATGCAGGATTAAGGACTTGTCATTTACACAACCTAAATTTCTTGTAGTTTAGAAAGCCTTAGATTTTGATGTATGTTTTCAAATATACTTATACCTCAAATATATAATGTAAAACCAGATCAGTTTTACTTCCAAAACTTGCTGTTTTCTGCAAACTCTCATGAATTTATGCTTTTCACTGAAGAAGTAAATGAGCAGCCTGGAGCTTCAGCATACCCAGCTCCTGCCAGTAAAAGGTATGCTGGCAGTTTTCTCCCACTGATCCTTCCTTTCCAGATTTAACTTTCTTAAATACCGCTTTCTGCTTAGAGTGTACCTGCTGTATCCAAGCTCTGTCCCACTGCTCCTCAGCCTCTGCTCTTCCTCTTCTTTCT